TTGAACCATATTTTTTTCTTTTTCATGTTCATATGCATCCGAGCTAGAACATAATATATCTTGTAGTCTTGTATTATTTTGGTTTTGACAATATTGTCAAATATTCTTAATAGGCATTGACATTTCCTACTTCCTAGTATGAACATTTTTTTCTTCTGAAAAATGTTTATTGGTCTAACGTAGAAAGTCATATGCTTACCTTATTGAACACTATATATAGTTTATGATTTTAGGATATAACTGTGCATTTTAAGTGCTCAATTAATACTAATAATCTGTCATTTCCTTTGTATTCAATGTTGCTTCTCAAGTTTGTTGCAAATTATTTTCATCAAAATATTATATAGTCGGAAAAAAGTAAAAAAGAAAGAAGTATTATATACAACTGATTTCAATTTGTTTGGAACCGCCGTGCAATTATAATTGTTGTTGGAGTAAAAATAGCATGGGCTAGCCAGTTTTAGGACCGGTCATTCAAAAATAGCCAGCGTTTGCAAAGTCATTGAAAAATAACTACTATTTTGCTGCAACATGAAAAATTCCAGCATAATATACTGGAGATAGATACACTTGCGTATGAACTTCCAGCATATATAATATGCTGAACTCCGACACGCGAAAAGTTCCAGCATAATATACTGGAGATTGCATCACCTATGTATGAACTTCTAGCATATTATGCTGGACCGGTATATTATACTGGAACTTCAGTATATTGATGGAGTTCCAGTATACTTATGTTCGAACTCCAGTATAAGTTCCAGAATATTATACTGGAATTCCAGTATATTATGCTAGAGTATTTTTCGAATTTTGAACAGTGTTTTCGTTCAAATTTACCTTTACATGAAAATTGGCTAAATTTTGATTGCTTTTGAAACTATGACTATTTTTGAATGACTACTTATATATCTAACTATTTTTGAATTTCTCCGTGTATAATACAGTTGGAAAGACTCTTGTGGCAACTAGCAATTCCTCTCTAGACTAATTTCATTTAATATTTCTTTTATAATCAGTATTAAATATTGATATCCTCGCATTGACATTACGTCCCAATAGATATTTAAGATGACATGAAAATGATGTCAAAGACATGAGATTTGATAACGTCGTATTCTTGTCAAAGAATCTCTAAATCTCAATTACCTAACAAAAATGGGCCAAACTGACCCGATCACTCTAATAAAAATGAGTACAGAGAGAAAATATATATAGTAAAAAAAAGAAAAAGATATAAACATGTCAAATTTGTAAGTATTTAACTTATAAGTTGATAGTGTAAACTATTTTACATGATAAGTATAATTTAATCTATAATAGGTGGTTAATCATTTTTATTAGATTATCAATTAATGTTTATTATAAAAATTTGTTTGTAATTACCTTATAAGTAATCTGATTATAAAAATAATTTTTAGACAAGTAATAAGTTAAACTCACTCAATGAATGTGCCAGAATTATTTTGTAATGGGCACAAGGATAGTTTTTTTTT